GCTGCTCACATGCTGTCTTGTATGTTTCTAAAAACATAAAAAGCAACTCCGATCAGTTTTTCAACATTAGAAATAGCAGGAAGCTTTTATTGACAGACAAGGAAATGTGAGTGTTTACTTAGGAGAGTTTCATGGATGAGATAATTAAAATTCAGAATAAAAAGAGCAATGTTTGAGATAAACTATACATTTTTTTCCTTACTAGGACTGTAGAAAAATCAAAATATTTCATCACAAGTAATTCACTAATTTGTCCTTTGTTAATATGTTAATTCAATAAGTTTCCCACAAATCAATGTGGCTTTGTGCTATTTTTGGGTTCAGCAGTGTAAATTTATGCAAAAGTGTTCTTTACTTGTCTTATGCTCACAAAATAACAACAGATCTCTTTTTTATTATTCTTTTTTTATAACTGTCTGCATCAAAATGCACTGGAATTGCAAGCACATAACATATGCATTAACATTTCTATGAATTACTGGTTCAGTTATGGGTGATATTTTGCTTGTTAAGCTTTGGAGATAATTACAGGTTTTTTCCATACAGATACTGCAAATGACTTCAAATGACTTTACCTTTTTTAAATGGCAAATTTGGGTTTCATTTAAACATAAATTACCAGTAAAAAGTATAATTTTCCATCATTTAACGATGGAATTGTGTGTATGACACTTCTGCTAGGGTCATTTCCATTCATCAGAATGAAACGGTTATAACGTCAGATTAAATACGCTTGAATTGAATTGGCAAAAAAAAAAGAACATAATTGCATGCATTAATTCTGACAGCCCTAATTTCTACACGTTTTTGTTTACTGATGAATTGGAGTTTCCAACCCAGAACCCACTGAGGTTGTTGACCGGTATCCATCCAGCCTCCTCCGTGTCTTGTTGGTGTGCTGAGAAATGCAGCCACACAGTCATGTGGGCAGGTAAATGTCTTTCGAGAGAAGAGGGCAGTGGGATGAACTGACCTGTGAACAGTGGCAGTCGTCTGCGTTGAGAGGGTCAGGGTGGAGAACAGAAGGGGAAGAACCATTATTTTCCGCCTCATTTCCGCTGATGGCCTGCTCAGGAAGGGGGGATGGAAATAAAGAGGAGGGAAACGCGAAATCATTTCAGCCTCCATTTGTAACATGTCTCCTTACAGACTCACTGACAGGTAGAGAAGAACAGCAGAGGATTTTAATGGGGCCAATTCGTCCGCTATTAGCCAACACAGCACGGTCCTTCGCAGCTATACCGCCAGTCCCTCCTGTAAGATTACACATCTATATCTATATAACTCTTCACCCGCCATTGCTGTCTTCCCTGAGAGCCCGTGTGAGAATAGATTATGGTAAATATATATAAAATGGGCTTGTGAGCTTCTAGAAGGCCTCTGTTTCACATTATCAAATGGAGGCTTCCACAGCATGCTTCGATTTTGTTGATGTTCTGAGCCATTTGCTGTGTTTTTAAACCATCTATTTTTATCACGCCTAATATGTTACCCTTTCCTTCCCATTACTGTAAATGACACCCTACAGGCTAACAAATATACAGAAGACTAATGGAGCGTCTTAAAGCTGTGTATTGGTTGGATAACCCTCCTTTAGACTGTAGAATTGCTTATAAATGGTAAGTTAAGACTGTTCACTTGGATTTCGTTACATCTCTGCTCGCATGCCTTCGATCTGGGCCAACTAACATTATCTGTATTACAGAATTTGATATGCAACAATAACAACAACAAAAAAAACATCATGTCAGATGAGCTATAGTGTTACAGGAAAACCCCTTTAAGGACAAAGATGGAAGGGAGATATGAAAGGAAATCTAAATAAGGTGTTTTAAGCAATGGCAATCCCATAAATCAATGCCATCTTTTCAAATTCACATTATCCCTGAGGGAGAGGGGGAAAAAAATCACACACACCAAAGAAAAAGTATTAGGATATTTAAGGGGGAAAAGTTTCTATACTCAAAACTTTTTTTATTATTGCACCTCTTTTCCTGCATTTTACCTTATATTTGTTGTGCATTAAGTACAGTCACAATACAATAAATAATACATATATAAAACTCATAGCATTCTTAGCACTACTAGTGGACATTTAATTTTAAATCTGCAATGACCTGAGGCAACATATTTCAAGTTTTCCAAAATTCATATACAGTCACGTTTTTCTCATGAGACAGGTTCATTAATTCCACACACAAAAAAAAGATATTTTGTCTTACCAAGAGGAGTTCCTTTCGAATGCCTTGTGTATGGAGGTTAGTTGAGCAGCGTCTTCATCTTCCCTGTTTTTTTTTCCACTCTCTCTGACAGGTCTGGAAGGATTATAGATGTTATCATAGTTCAGACTGTTTCTCTAACATTTGTCATTCAGTTATCAAACTGCCAATTCTGCTCCTGTCGGGTAAGTGTGTTTGGGAGACAAGAAAGCCAGGAGGGAGGTCCTTGCTGATCCAATTTTGGTCTGATTTTTATTGAATAGCCTATCAAATGTGTGCATGAAAAAATACTGTGTGTGTGTGTGTGCGTGTGTGTGTGTGTGTGTGTGAGAGAGAGATCATCACACTTGGATGAGAATGTTCTGTGTTTTCAGGGATGTAAATCCTTTCCTTGGCAAGCCGTAATCCCAAAGCACCCATCAAACTGTCCTTCAGCTGCCAGCCTTCCACACACACCCTCAAACAAATGTACACACACTCTCTGCAGGACATTTGTTTCTATTTCTGTCATATTATCTCAAATAAAGCATTCTGGCTTTGTTATAAAAGATGTAATTCACTGGTTTCTACAGTGCCAACAAAATGGACATAACTGAATTTTAATGTTTTTTTGCATCCATCTGGGCTGAATGGTTATATTTTGTTAAATTGATCCACTAGTGGCACAAAATGAATTACAAAAATAATTAACATTCTTGAACAAGGTCATTAATACTTGGAGAAATCTGTTAACAAGTGTTATTTTAGTAGCAATGAGATACTATTATAGTTTTTATTAAGAATTTGAATTGGTTTTTATTTGTTTTTATGTACATTTTTGTTAAAGTTTTGTAATTTTTTTGTCTTTATTTTGGTATTTTTAGAATAGTTTTCATTATTATTAGGGGCCAAGCACCGAAGGTGCGATGGCAACTATTGGATCCGTTGGCGTTATTATTCTTCTTCTTCCGTTTCTTCCGCCATTGTGTCTATGGCAGCCCATAGAACCGCTTGCGGGAAAGTTATGAAATTTGGCACACTGATAGAGGACAGTCCCAACATTAACCATAGCAAGTTTGGAGTCTCTCACTCAAACGCTCTAGCTCCACCACTTGTCCAAAGTTTCACTCATGTTTATGCTAATAACTTTTGAACCATAAGCCACAGAAGGAAAATAATTTTTTCTCTGATTCCTTGGCACATGTCGAGTCGAATGGACACAAAATTAAAAAAATATGGTTTAGTTTTGGTTTAGTTTTTTTTTCTCGCCATTTTTAATTGTTCGTAAAACCTACTTTTTCGAACTCGTCCTAGACGGTTTGTCTGATTTTCACCAAAATTGGGACGGATCATCTTCAGACCATGCTGGCAAAAAGTTATGGAATTCAAGTTGATTCGTCCAACCGTTCTCAAATAACACGCAAACAAATTCTACGAAAAGCACGCAAAAATGGATCTGAGGCTATATCTCCGCAACGGTTTGGTGTATTGAGACCAAACTTGGTGTGTGTTATAATAAGCATGACCTGAAACTACCTGCAGTGTTTCGGCGCTGTGCCACCTAGTGGTCAGGAGATATAAAAAATGCATATTTTTACTTATAACTTCTGACTGGTTTGGCCAAAAATCTCAGGTCAGCCATTTTGGGTGTCGGCCATTTTGAATTTTGTAGTAAAATGCTATATTTTACGAATGCATTGACGTATCGTTACGAAACTTCGTATGGGTCATCAGCACGATGCCCTGAAGGAGTCTTGAGAAGTTTCGAGCCAGCGCCACCTAGTGGTAAAATCAAATATTCACATGCTTATAACTTTGGGTGTGGTCGACTTATTTTCACGGGAGTCACCTTTTTAGACTCCTGAATCTTTGCCGAGTCCATCGATACCAAACATGCCAGGTTTTGCCTTATGGTTTGTGCAAAGTTGCATTTTAGCGCTTAAAAAACATTTGCCAATATCTTAGAAACCGTTACTCTGATCGACACAAAACCACTGTAGGAAATTCGAAAACATAGCGTGCCCGCTATACACTAATGCCCAATTGCCAAAAGTTTGATAATAAGTGGCAAAAAAATGCAAACAAAGTCGGTCATCAGTCATTTTATCTCTTCTCATATATAAAAATGTCTATAACTCCAAAACAAAATGAAATATTTTCACCAAATTTGACACACATATGCATGGGCACACTCTAAGGGCACATAAACATTTGGTGGGATTGTGCCTCTTGGTGGCGCTATAATTTAACAAAAAATGAAATTGCCATTGACTACAATAGAGTATTATGATATAAAATGCTATATTTTACGAATGCATTGGTGTACCATTACGAAACTTTGTATGTAACATCGAGACCATGACTGAAAGTACTCAAAGTTTTGAGAGTGCCACCTTGTGGTCAAAAGTTATAATGAAATTTCAAATAAATGCTAATAGCTTTCTGTGAATTTTGCCTATTGTAATGAGACTGGTATTAATAGATTCCTTGGGTCATGCTGAGAACAGAGATACCAATGTTCAAAACCTACTTTTTCGAACTCCTCCTAGACCGTTGGTCCGATTTTCACCAAAATCGAATCATATCATCTTCAGACCATGCTGACAAAAAGTTATGGATTTTGGGTTGATAGTCAAAACCGTTTTCGCATACCACAGCAACGAATTTGAGGCATGGTGCTAAATGGCAAAATGACACTTGAGGCTGTATCTATGCAATGCCTTGGCATATTGACACCAAACTTTGTGTGTGCCATTGTCAACTCACACAGGACACACCACATCGATTTGATAACAGCGCCACCTATTGGTAAAACGTGATAAGCCAATAAATCATATTACTAGAGGTTGTATTTATGATATTTCAGCTGTTTTTACTAAAATCATCCTAAAATGGCTTCAATTACTAATTTCTGCATCTTGAGAAGTTTCGAGCCAGCGCCACCTAGTGGTAAAATCAAATATTCACATGCTTATAACTTTGGGTGTGGTCGACTTATTTTCACGGGAGTCACCTTTTTAGACTCCTGAATCTTTGCCGAGTCCATCGATACCAAACATGCCAGGTTTTGCCTTATGGTTTGTGCAAAGTTGCATTTTAGCGCTTAAAAAACATTTGCCAATATCTTAGAAACCGTTACTCTGATCGACACAAAACCACTGTAGGAAATTCGAAAACATAGCGTGCCCGCTATACACTAATGCCCAATTGCCAAAAGTTTGATAATAAGTGGCAAAAAAATGCAAACAAAGTCGGTCATCAGTCATTTTATCTCTTCTCATATATAAAAATGTCTATAACTCCAAAACAAAATGAAATATTTTCACCAAATTTGACACACATATGCATGGGCACACTCTAAGGGCACATAAACATTTGGTGGGATTGTGCCTCTTGGTGGCGCTATAATTTAACAAAAAATGAAATTGCCATTGACTACAATAGAGTATTATGATATAAAATGCTATATTTTACGAATGCATTGGTGTACCATTACGAAACTTTGTATGTAACATCGAGACCATGACTGAAAGTACTCAAAGTTTTGAGAGTGCCACCTTGTGGTCAAAAGTTATAATGAAATTTCAAATAAATGCTAATAGCTTTCTGTGAATTTTGCCTATTGTAATGAGACTGGTATTAATAGATTCCTTGGGTCATGCGGAGAACAGTGATACCAATGTTGTCATAGTCAGGCAAACTTCCTGTCCGCCATTTTGATTTTCTTTAAAAACCTACTTTTTCGAACTCCTCCTAGACTGTTGGTTCGATTTTCACCAAAATCGAATCATATCATCTTCAGACCATGCTGACAAAAAGTTATGGATTTTGGGTTGATAGTCAAAACCGTTTTCGCATACCACAGCAACGAATTTGAGGCATGGTGCTAAATGGCAAAATGACACTTGAGGCTGTATCTATGCAATGCCTTGGCATATTGACACCAAACTTTGTGTGTGCCATTGTCAACTCACACAGGACACACCACATCGATTTGATAACAGCGCCACCTATTGGTAAAACGTGATAAGCCAATAAATCATATTACTAGAGGTTGTATTTATGATATTTCAGCTGTTTTTACTAAAATCATCCTAAAATGGCTTCAATTACTAATTTCTGCAGTTGGTTTGATGCTTGCTTCTGTAGTGCTTGGCCCCGTAATTGCTGAATGAGAATGAGAAATGTCTCCTTGTGAACTAGCTGAATTATATTAAGTTTAAAGTTTATTTATATATATATATATATATATACAGGTATA